GCCACCATTTTAAAGAAGCAGAGAGCTTAGAATATAATATTCCAGAAGGCAAAAGATAAAGGCTTTCAACCAAAAATAACTTACCTAGTAAAAGTGAATATAATGCTATGTGGGGAAATGGTCTTTTAATAAAACAGAAAATTCCCAAGCATTCCTGATTTAAAAAAATATCAGCACAGATCAGAACCAGAAGGGAAATATCTGTACAGCAGTCCTATAAAACTGGCTTTATCTCATGGGAGAGTATGAGTGGTATGTGGGTTATGGTTTTATGTTTTAAGTATCTATTAGAGCTCATTTATAAATCTTTCATATTCTAAATATATCTTTTATGGTGGAGGAATTAAGTAGTTATCTTTTATCTAACATTTAGTTAGTATATTGACTATCTTTTCTAGAAATAATACAGCTAATCCCTTTTTATGAGAAACTAGCCACATCTAAATTTTGCTAAAGACATTTCCCTGAATCTCTAGATTGGGTATATAACCAACCAGAAAGTAGGAGAAGATTCTGATCCCTTTTCTCTGGCTTCAGGGTCCCTTGGGACTGAACTCAGTTTTTGTGAATCCAGGGCTGTATTGGATACCCTTGTGAGAGGGACCATCTTATGGGCTGTGGATCTAACTTGTATTTGGGAGATGATTACACTCTCTAGGATCACCAGTTATGGTAGGTATGAACTTCACAAAAGAATATTAATTTTCAGATCTCTAAGAACTGTGCCACATGAAATCTTTAGCACAAAGTACTGGAGAAGCACTCAGAAGGACAATGTTTGAGCCTCTCCAAGTCACCAGAGTAGGATCCAGAATCGGCAAAGTGTATAAATATTCTAAGAGCATCCCAGTTGACTCCCCAGTTGATTGAGTCCTGCAATGCACTTGAGGAAATCACAGAATACAATGGGCCAGAGACCAAAACAATTAGGTATAAGAGCACATCCACTTCAAGCTTTGAGTGACCCATTTGTATCTTGTAAAAAGCAAGTGAAAGGTAAGTAAAGGAGACTTAAAATTGAGGAGGTAATGAGCCTGCTCTGGTGCTCTTTTCTCCACCCACTCACTAATGTGGTGAATCAAGAATAACTGAGAGTTTATAAAAAATGGAAGAGCCAAATCAAACTGCAGAGTCAGTTGAAAAGAGAGCTAGCTGTGCTGCGCAGGAAGAACCTAATTTTTGAGTTTACTATTCAGTTTTTTCTTTGCACATCTTGGAGAATGCAGCAAGAGGATGAGGGTGGAGGGTTGTTTTTCCTCACCCCAATGGCAAGCACCCAGTGCAAGAGCAGTGTCCGGCTGCAGAGTTGAGTTGGTAAGAAGAGTCAAGAATTTAGTACCTGAAGCTAAGCTTCTGCTTGGGAAAGGGCAAATCCCAGAGCCAAGACTTCTATTGGTCCTAGGGTACAGGCTCTAGTTCTTTCCAAAAGTTCATAGCAATCCCCAAAGTAAGATGTTAGTTAAGCCCAAAGTTGGAGGAAGTGTCTTTTTTAATAATCAAGGAGTAAAGTAGCTCCCATCAGGGATGCTGATCAATCCCCTCCTATATTTATGTATTTTGTATTTATTTCCCTGTATAAATGTTGTTTCCCTCTCTTCCCCCACCCCCCATATAATGTAAGCTCTTTCATGTCAGACTGTCTGGATTTCACCTTTTTATCCCCAGAATCTAGGACGGTGTCTGGCACATAGCAGGCGCTTAAGAAATTGAACAGAGATGCTGGACCACTCCAAACAGAGAGGTCTCACAGTCTACATGGGAATAAACAGAATGATCAAGAACGCCTATTACCCAAACCTCAGACTTCAAAACAGGCAGATTCAAAGCAAGGGCTGATAATGCCTTTCTCCCTGGTCCAGTGTTGTGTCCCAAGACAACCAACATTCTATAGCAACCGCCTAGAGGCATCTTATGAAGCCTGAGTCAGAGAGAACTTGCTTGTTGGAAAACAAACCCTCAATGTCCTGTCCTCAAGATGTTCTCACTTGTCACCCAATATCCTCGTGTTGCTTACTTTGGCACCTCCTCAATAAAAGTCCTACCCATACAACACTTGAAGCTTTTTCTCAGTCATTCCCTAATCCATGCCATTATCTATGTTTTTATTTGGTTGGGAATGATGGGAAAGGGTGGAATGGAGCATATCTACCTGGGTACACCTACAGAGATATAAAGGTTAATTAAACCTCTCACATTTGCCCCATAGAATCCCATTCTCTCAGAGCTCTGTTTTTCTGCTGGGTGACAAACTAACCCCATCAATTAATGAATGAATTCCTGCAATAGTCTGCTGATGGGTCTGCCTACTTCGAGTCTCTCCCCACTCTACTCCATCCTCCACTCAAGCCTCCAAAGTGCTTTTCCTAAAGAGCACCTTCCTACTCAATAAACTCCATTGGCTCCCTATCATCTCTAGGATCAAATACAAAATCCTGTTTGACATTCAAAGTCCTTTATAACCTAGCCTCCACCTGCTTTTCCAGTCTTCTTGCTTTGTTTGTTTTTTTGTTTTGTTTTGTTTATTTGTTTTGAGAATTGGGGGTAAGTGACTTGCCCAGGTTCACACAACTAGTAGGTGTCAAGTATCTGAGGCCAGATTTGAGCTCAGGTCCTCCTGACTCCAGGGCCAGTGCTTTATCCACTGCATCACCGAAATGCCCCTGCCTTTCCAGTCTTCTTACACCGTACTCTTGACACTGACCTCATTATTGGGCTATGAACAGGATACTCCATCTCTTGGCTCTAGGCATTTTCTCTTCCTGTCCCTTGTGCCTGGAATGCTCTTCCTCCTCATCTCTGCTTATTGGCTTTCCTGGCTTCTTTCAAGTCCCAACTAAAATCTACAGCAATGACGTCAAACTCAAATAGAAATGGGGTGCTGGGCCATCACCAGTCATCTTGACATATGTATTGCCACTGGACTCAAATGACTCTGGAGGAGAGAGTGAAGCTGATGACTTTGCACATCTCTGCCTCACTTAAACCCAATTCACTCACAAGTCAAGACATCACCCTTGTAATGTCATTGGTCCTCCTAAAGAACTAAGGATGAACAATAAGAAGGAATGGGGTCCACTAAACTGTACATAGAGAGCCCTGAGGGCTGCATGTTGACTTCAAAAATCACAAATGCTTATATATTTCTTTTTTTTAAATTAATATATCAACACAATAAGATCAGGTAGTAACTACATATTAATCTGGTTCAGCTGTACTCAGGAGTGTTGTGGGCCAAATGCTGCTCTTAGGCCACGGTTTTGACACAAGGTCTCTGAAAAGCCTTTCCCAACACCTTAATTCTAGGGTCTTTCCTCTTTTAATTATTTCCTATTTATCCCATATATAGCTTGTTGTACATAATTTGTTTATTTCCCCCATTAAATTGTTAACTTGAGGGCAGGGACCGCCTTTTTCCTTTTTTTTTTTTTTTTTAAATTCCCAGTGCTTAACATGGTGCCAGGCACTTAGTAGATACTTAATAAATGTTTATGGATTTACTGGCTGTCCTCCATGCCTGAAATGCTCTCCCTCCACATCTCCTCTTCCTGGCTTTCAAGTCCCAGTTAAAATTCTACCTTCTACAGGAAGCCTTTCCCTATACCCTTTAATTCTAGTGCCTTCCCTCTGTTGATTATTTTCAATTTATTCTGTATGTATGTTTGTACATAGTTTTTTGCATGCTGTCTTCCCCCATTAGACTAGAAGCTCCTAGAAAGCAGAGACTTTTTTTTTTTGCATCCCTAGTGCTTCTTAATAAATGTTAGAATCCTAAACCAAAGGCAGTTAATGGATAGAGTGCTGGACCTGGAGTCAGGAAGACATGAATTCAAATCCAGCCTCAGACACTTCCTAGGTATTTGACCTTGGGCAAGTCATTTAACCGCTGGTTGTCTCAGTTTCCTCAAAATGGGGATAGTAGTTGTTGTGAGGATCAAATAAGATATTTGTAAAGTGTCTAACACATATAAATGCTAGATATTTTGTTGTTATTGGAATAATAATTTCAGACATTGATGGGTAAGGGGGTAAACCATACCTATGTGGTGTGGTTTAAAGTACCGACTCTAATGTCTTCTTAGGCTGGTCCTGCCCCTAAGGGAATCTAACAGAGCCAATGAGAAGGGTGTGGGGGAGCATAGACTCCAGCCCCTGCCAGATCCCCTTTTTGTCCCTTGTTTCAATGGCCTGTCTCTTTCCTATGTGGAGCATTCCTTGAATAGTCAAAAAAGAGTTTTCTCCAAAGAAGATGGGTCTGGATGGGACTGAGAACTCAATCCACCTGAGGGCTTCTCTCTTCACTGCAGTTACTGAAACACAAAATTGCAACAGGGAACTGGGTGGGACAGAATCTGCTTATAAAGCAAAACTCCTCCTCCTACCCTCCATCCTCTCCCCCACCCCCACCCCAAGCGTAATCCAGTTGGATCTGGAGCTGCGGTCTCCTCCCTTCCATCACCTCACCCATAGCTCGGGAATGTTTGGTTTCCCACTGAGATTAAACCTCATGCTCATTAACCATGGGGGCAGGTAGTAGGTGCAAAAGCTCACTGTAGGGGGAAAAGTCCCATCCTGCCAGGAACTTATTGGAGTTTGTACCCAGAAAACAGCTGCTTCTTTATTCCGTCACAGGGACCTTGTAACGTAAACTTTGTATGTAAAACTTTGCAAACTTTAGAGCCGCAGTATGAGTCAGATATTATTAATGGTTTTGACCTGTGGTATCATTGGTGCAGGGAATCCCCTAGTGCAGAAACCAGTGCTCCTCTGAAGGAGACCCACAATTCTGTAACCTGCCTGGGGACACCCAGACAGTAAATGATCAGGAACTGAACTTGAACCCAGACTGTCCCCAACTCTATGCTGCCTCTTCTAAATAGAAAAGCTATTCCCCATAGAAAGTAGCAAGGAAAGTTAATCCTTAGAGTGGAATGAAAGGGAAGTGCCCTTAAAAGTCAAGGTAAAGTGAAGCAAGGACAGCTCTTAATAAAGTTAAACCTTACCTCCCCGGCGTGCGTTCTCGTGTGCCGGCTAATCGGGATGCCTGGCTCAAGGA